TGGGTGTGGTTTGGGCTTTGCTTCTGTGAAGACTGACAGCCTTGGAGACCCTGTGGGCAGTTCCACTCTGTCCTCTAGGGGCGCTGTGAGTTGGAATGGACTCCACAGCAGTGGGTGTGGTTTGGGTTAAACTCCCAAAAGTGGGATAAGCGAGTCAAAGAGTGTAAATTCTTGATAGAATCTGCCAGATTATTTTCCAGAAGGTCCGTGAGGATGAGCGTTGAGCTCCATCCACCCCTACAGCTCTGGGTGTTGTCGCTCTAGGAACCCACTGCCAAGTACACTGTCAGTCTGCAGGTCTTTTATTTTTCAAAACATTTCTGTTGAAGTCCCCCTGCCCCCTCCCCGGCCCCTGGTAACCGCTTTTGCCTCTGCCCTTGCCCACTGTTCTTTCCTGGAAACAGAGCCCTTCGGTGTGTGTCCTGTGTCCGGCTTCCTTCACTCGGCATGAGGCTGTCCAGGCTCACCCGTGCTGTGGCCGTTCACAACGTCATTTCTCTGTATGATGAGTCACCTTCCAGTGTATGGACGGACCACACTTGGTTACCCACTCTTCTGGTGATGGACATGTGGGCTGTCTCCACCTTTTGATCGTTGTAAATAACTTACTTTAGTTGACAGATTTAAACAAGTCAAAAGCCACTGTTCCTGGTGTACAGTCCCCTGAGTTTTGACAAATGTGTCTAATCAGTAACCGCCACCACGTTGACATGTAGAATCCCTAACACCCCCAAATTCCCTCGTGCCCTTTGTAGTCAAGCCTCCCTGCACCCCAGCCACCAGTCTGCATGCCCGCAGTCCGGGCTTTTCCAGAGTGTAGCTCGTGGACCGCACCCTAGGGTACCCCTCGAGTCTGAGTCTTTCCTTTAGTGGACAGCATGTGCGAGTTTCCTCTGGGATAGATGCAGGCGCTCAGCTCATCCTATAGACTGTGCTTTGGCGTTGTGGCGTGGAAGTCTTTGCCCAGCCCAAGGTCACAGGGAGTTTCTCTTCTAGAAGTTTCTTCCTTTTAGGTTTAAATTGAGGCTATGATGTGTTCTGTGTGTGGTATGAGTTGTGGGTGCAGCTCTTGTCTCTGTGTGTGGACATCTCACTGGCCCAGCAGCCCGGACTGAAAGACAGTCGCTCCCCGACGGAGTGGCCTCTGTGCCCTTGCCAAGAGTCAGCCGAGCAGATCTGTGGGGGGCTCCTTCTGGGCTCACTAGTGGGTGTCCCTTCTTTCCCCGGTACCAGGCTGCCATGGTGACTGCCGCTTCACAGGCAGGTCATTCCTTCAGCTTCCTTCTTTGTCAGATGTGTAGGCTGTTCTCTACCCTGTGCCTTTCCACACGCATTTTAAAATCAGCTTCTCGGTTTCTACAAATACTCCCGCAGGACTGTGACCAGGGTGCACTAAATCTATAGGTCAGTGTGGGGAGAAGGAACATCTGAACAGCCTGTTTCCAACCACGGGCACAGGCAGGTGCTTCCCGACTTCCAACGACTCTGTCCTGAGTCAGTTCTGACATAAGCCAGATAACTCTTTTTTTAAGTTTCGTTTATTGCCTTTGTTATCACCATCTTTATAAATCCAATCTTTATTTGTCTTTAGGGGCTGGAAACATCTGTGAACAAATATCTGAGAATGATAAAATGAGCAAGTTACACGCTGCACTGTCGTGGGTGGTCCACATTGCTAATGATAAGGTGCACAGGTCTCTGTCACTCGCCCGCATCCCGGGTCGCGCCCACCGGCCTCTCTCCCCACTAGTTAGGGCTTCGATCTCTTTCGTCGGGAGTTTAGTTCTCAGTCCACGTTTTCTTAGATGTATGCCTAGTCTTCCATGTTCCTTTTTGGGCTGTTGTGAGTGTGGTAGTTTTTAGATTTCGGTTTCCAGGTGCTCGTGGCTAATACATAGAACTACAGTTGGTTTCTGTTTGTTAACTTGGTTTGGGTGGCTTTGCTAAGCTCATTTTGAGCTTGTTACCCATCCCCGGAAGCTTTGACAAGTCACTTTGAAAGGGCCTGTGGATTTGGGCTTCTGTGCTTACCCAAAGGGGGAGCTGGGCATCTGTGCACATGAACGCTCATGTGCACGTGTGGTACATATGTGCACACAGGTGTGCATGAACTGGCATGTGCATGCATGTGTGTGCATGTGCATGCATGCATGAGTTGGCACATGCAAGTACTAGTTGGCACATGCACGTGCATGCATGAGTTGGTGCATGGATTCATGCGTGTGTGTGCACGTGCATGCATGAGTTGGTGTGTGCATGCATGCGTGTACATGTGCACACGAGTTGGCACGTGCGTGTCTGTTGTCATCCGCATTGCGTCTTCTGTGAATCCACTACTCGTATCTGTGGTTGAGTTTTCTCTTGGGCAATTTCTCTTACTTCCTAACAATCATTGCCTGAGGCATCTGACTGCTAACCAGAAGGCTGGTAGTTCAAACCCACCAGCGACTGGGTGGATGGGAGATGGGGGCAATGTACTTCTGTAAGGATGTACTGCCTTGGAAACCCAGTGGCGGTCACTCTGAGCCAGAGTTGACTCGATGGCAGTGGGTTTGCTTCCTCGACTGGGGTTGTTAAGCCGTCTGTCGTGTCTGCTGCAGATCCAGTCTCTAGTCACGTGGTCGCCTTGACACCCCGCCCGGGGTTTCTTTCCCCACAGTTTGTTTTCTCAGTTGCTCACGTTTACTTAGATCTCGGATCCACCTGACGGGGCGGTGTTTCGTTCTGCCGCACATGAGGTCGCTATGAGTTGGAGACGACTCCATGGCACCACCACCACCAACGAATGCACCTGGGATTTATTTGGGGTTTAGCAGGAGCAGGCGTCTCTCCTTTCTCCTAGAGACTGGGAGTCAGTTACATCTACAAGGGCTATTAAATAGCTTGTGCGTGTCTCACTGAATAGAAAGGCCTCCTTGATACAGACTACCTCCCCACATTCACCATGCACATCTCTGCTCTCTGGTCACTTGGACGAGGTTGGGCCAATGTCAGACTGCTTTGAATGTTGCCACTTTTCGGTGCTTTTCAAAACCTAGGAGGGCCAGTCTCCCTCCGCTGCTGCCTAGTCATTCGCCTTCACTTCTGTGGGATTCCCTGGCTGCTGCTTGGTTCCATGACCCTGAGGTCGCTTTGGCAGCTGGGAATGACCGTGTACACTTCTCGTGGAGGGGAGCCCACGCCACCCCTCTGCTGGCCCAGCTGGTGGTGTGCGGGACACACAGGGCAACAGCCTGGTCCCACCCCCATGCCTCCCCCAGCCCCGCCACCCTCTGTCCCCAGGTCAAGCACGGACAGCTGCTGAGGCAGCAGGAAAAGATGATCCGCGACATGGAGATGGCCGTGGCCCGCAGAGACGCCATCACGGCCCGCGCTGAGGGCCAGAGCAAGAGCGACAAGAAGGTGCTCACCCGCTCTGGCTTCCACCACCAGCAGGTGGAGCTGAGACGGAAAATCCGCGACACTCACAAGGTAGGCGGGCCGTTCCCGGGGGAGGGGGAAGCCGGGCTGGGCAGGCTCCATGGCCGCCTCCCTCATCCCTCCCTCCCACCTCTGCACGCTGAGGGGGCCCTCCCCCAGCCAGCCTCATCCGCCCTCCCCCCAGCATCTGCGAAAGTCCCGGTAAGACTCCCCTGAGGGTCCCCACCTCCTGCCGGCCGCTGGACCAGCGCACCCTGCCCTCACTGTCTCCCCCCTGCCCTTGGCACCCTGCGTGCCGAGCTGTCCCTGGTCCCCAGGCCTAGCCACCATGTTTCTCTCCCAGCCACGCCCACCATGGGGCAGCAGCCGGCCCTCGTGCGGGCGGGCATCACTGTACCTGGCACACCACAGGGCCCAACTCCGGGCGGTCCGTCCCTGAAGGGCAGGGACCACTGGACTCCCCGCAGGGTCTGGCCGAGGAGCAGGGGGGCAGAAGGCCCGGCAGCGGTTACAGATGGATTCTTCTAGGTCCCCTCCCTAACCGGGGGGCGGCCCTGCGCGCTGCTCTCTCTGCCAGGCCTCCGAGGCGTGCGCCCAGACCCTGCTGGAGCTGGAGGAAGTGCAGAAGGGCGTGAGCAGCTCGCTGCTGGAGAGGCAGGAGCAGCTGTCGGCCGTGCAGTCCGAGTCTGACCTTCTGGACGCCGACCTCGAACGGCTCGTGGCCCTGAAGCGGCAGGTAGGCACACCCAAGGGGCCATGAGGGCGGCCGGAGTCCTGGGCCGCCTCGGGGGTGGCCTTCTCCCAGCCCAGCCGAGCCCAGGCGACCGCAGCACTGCCCGGCCCTCGTCCGTGTGGCTTCGCTACTCGTTCTGACTCAGCCCTCAGCAAGTTACCGAGCATCGTCTACGGGCCAGGCGCCATTCTAGACGCTGGCTGAAGGACAGAAGAAAAACAAACCCAGCCCTCCCAGAGGTGACGCTCGGGGAGATGCATGACAAGTTAAGAAAAAAAGAGATGCTGTATGTTAGCGGGTGGTCAGTGCTTGGAGGAAAATCTCACTGGGAAGGGGCCACCTGTCGAGGTCAGCGTGTCCACACGTGCGGGTCAGTGACCTCCGTGACAGCCTTCAGATTTACAACCACTCTCCTCCTGTTGCAAGTTGTTCCTCCCCCATTCATGTGAGCTCACTGCCCCCTCAGGGGCCCATCTGACCTTTCGAGTTGCTGTTGTCAGTTTGACCACCAGGAGACAATTCTTGAAAGGGCGCGGTGCTCACGGCAGACCTTCCTCGCTAGTTATGCCAAACCCTGAGGCTGTCAGGGATCTCATCTTTCCTGGATCTACAATCGACACCCATGGGAGCAGCAGTCAGGACATCAGACATCATATGCACTTGGCACATCTGCTGCAAAAGACCTGTTTAGAGTGTTGAAGAGCAAAGCTGTCACTTTGAGGACTAAAGAGCGCCTGACCCACGCCATGGAATTTTCAGTCGCCTCATATGCATGTGAAAGCTGGACAATGAATAAGGGAGACTGAAGAAGAGTTGATGCTTTTGAGCTTTGGTGTTGGGAAAGAGTACTGAAAGTACCATGGACTGCCAGAGGAACAAACAAAGCTGTCCGGGAAGAAGTGCAGCCAGCATGCTCCTTGGAAGCAAGAAGGGCCAGCCTTCATCTTGCCTACTTTGGTCATGTCTACAAAATCAAAACCAACTCACTGCCATCGAGTTGGGTCTGACTCATAGCAACCCCTCCTTGGGTTCCAAGTGGTATCACTACAGAAGTGGATTGCCCAGCCTTCTTTCCAAAGAGTGGCTGGTGGGTTTGAACCGCTAGCCTTCTGGTTAGCAGTCAGATGCCTTAGGCACTGCGCCACCAGAGCTCCGTGGTCATGTCAGAAGGGACCATTCCCTGGAGAGGGGTATCATGCTTGGTAAGGTGAAAAAGGGGAAGGCTCTCGACGAGATGGACTGACACGGTGGCTGCGACAGAGGGTCAAGTACAGCCAGGATTGTGAGGCTGGTGCAGGACCGGGCAGAGGTTTGTTCCGTTGTGTGTGGGGTCACCATGAGTCGGAGCCCACTCGACGGTGCCGAACAGCAGCAACCACATCGTTTGGCTTTAAGGCTTAAGGGCACATTTTTGGTTTAAGGTTTAAAGACGATCTCAGGGCAGTGGTTCCCAGGATTCATCCAGCTTCCCTGGCTCCAGAAAGTCTGGAGTCCAGGAGAACTGGAGATCCTGTCCTGCGCTGGGGTGGGGTGGGGTGGGGGCTGCACTTCTGAGTGGGGCAGTGGGAAGGCCTCACGGAGATGACCTGTAAGCGGAGCCGTGCGGCAGGCGGGGCAGGGAGCCTGCAGGCAGAGGGGTCGGCCAGGCAAAGGGGGGAGCTCGAGGCTCCCCGGGGCCAGAAGCCTTCATGGGTGGAGTGAAGTGAGGGTGAGGATGAGGCACCCACCTGGACTGTGCAAGGCCTTGGGGATATGACAGTGACCTTGGCCTTCTCGCTGAGATGGGAGGCAGTGCAGGGCCTGAGCTGAGGAGTGATGGGAGTTACAGAGCCACCTGGCTCTGGGGTTGAGAACAGAAAGAGGGACAAGGACAGAAGCAGGCACCTACTGGGGACCATCACAGCCCTTCAAGTGACAGCAGCCTACGGGCAGGTGGTGCTGGAGCCTGGCGAGACGCGGGCGCATTAACTGCTTTGAGAAACTCCGTCAGGATTTCCCGCAGGGCTGGGTGTGGTGCGAGTGGAAGAGAGGGGTCAGACGGGAGCCCGAGGTGCTGGCCAGATATCCTGGAAGATGTGCTCACCTGGGATGGGGGTGAGGCAGGGAACAGCAGGCACGGGGCCAATGCGGGGCGGGGGCAGAGATGTCCCCTAGGGACAGACGAGAGACAGGCGCCCAGCTGCTGTGTGCCAGCCCTTCCTGTGGACTGGGAGACACAGTGCCCTTTGTGGGGGGTTCTCTCGGGTAATTTCTTACCCTTGAGTGTGTGTCGAGGAGCCCCTGGGTGACACAGAGTTGACACGCCGACTGCTAACCGGAAGGTTGGAGGCTCGAGTCCCCCCAGGGGCGCCTGGGAAGAAAAGCCTGGTGCCTGCTTCCAGAAACTCAGCCCCTGACAACCCCACGGGCCCAGTTCAGCTGGGACCCACGTCGGGGCACCGTGAGTGGTGCAGGGTAAGCACTGTGCATACCCACAGATGGGAAAGGTCCCAAGCAGGCTGCCTCGTTCTGAACGTTGATCATGCGGGCCGGCCGGGCTGTAAGCCAGGCCTTGAAACAGCCCGCAGACAGTTACCCAGATGCCTGGGCCCAGCACTCTTCCCTGGAATGGGCGTGCAGGAGTGGGAGTCGGAGGTCCTGTGAGCCTGGCAGGGTGCCCCTTTTGTGTACTTCAGTATAGAATCGGCCTGTGGCTTTACTCCCTCTGTCTGTCTCTCTCTCTCTCTCTCTCTCCCTCTCCCTCTCTCTCTCTCTCGGCCTCCCTCCCTCCCCCCTCCTGTCCAAGCTCCTCCGAGTCATTTCCTCTCTCCCTCTGTCTCTCTCCCTCTGTCTGTCTCTGTGTGTCCGTTTCTCTGTCTCTCCTCCTCGCTCTCTCTCCCCATGTCTGTCTGTCTCTCTCCCTCCCTCCCTCTCTCTCCTGTCCGAGTCCCACTAAACCCATGTCACAGAGCAGGGCTCCGGGTCATTTCTTGGGTCTCACGGCTGCCCTGAACTCACAGGGAATTCCGCCCAACAGAGAGTCCACGTCAGAGTAGCTCCTTTGCCTTTGGGGTCTGGAGGGTTGTGTAGGGGCAGTAGGTTCTCTTTCCTGATTTGTACCCCACCTTCGGTGTCCCCCCAGAACCTCTCGGAAATCGTGACCTTGCAGACACGCCTGAAGCATCTGCAGGCTGTGAAGGACGGGAAGTACGTGTCCCTGTTCCGCTCCGAGCAGTCCCTGCAGGCCGAGAGCAAGCAGCTGGACAGCCGGCTGGCCGTCATCAGCGCCGTCCTGGACCACGTGCGGCACGAGTACCCCCAGTTCCAGGAGACTCTGCACAAGCTCAGCCAGGCCCTGGCCACCAAGCCAGAGGCGCCCGGGCCTTCCTAGAGGCGCACAGCCCACCCCGGAAGCCCCACGTGGGGGAGATCGTTTTTTCTACAAGATACTAACAAGCATTGTGAGGCTGGAAGCTGTGTTACCCTTGAGAACGAAACCCATTTGGAGAAGTAAGCAGACCAGCACTGTAGGATCTTATTTATTTTTGTAAGCCACCTAGCAGTTGCTACCAAGTAAATTACAAACGTTTTCCTTGCGTTTCTGTGAGCTTGCGCCTCCACTATGCAAAGACCCGGCCTGCACCCGCAAACCCCCATTCCTACGCCAGCCTCGCTGGTTGGTGGAGGCACCCTCCCGTTTCTGCTCTGGAGGGGGGTCGGTTGGACCTCTGTATCTCATACAGCGGTGAGCACTGGCTCAGAATCTAAGGGGAACAAAGCAGCATGGACCCCAAGACACGGAGTGTAACTGGGCAGCCTGGCCTCGAAGGTGTGCTTCACTTAACCTGAGCTCCGTCTACTGGGGTGCATCTCAAAGGCCACGATCCACCTCGTTTTCTAGTTTCCCCAGCACTCGGACCTTTTTGCCCCGCTGCCACTCCCGGTTTGAAGTAAATCCAGGTTCGCAGCTTGCAGGAGAAGGTCAAGGACTGCAGGACGTGGACGGGGGGGGGGGGGTTCTTGTTGAGGTGGCACCTGCCCAGGTGAGCCCTCCGTGCGCCAATGGTCTGCCTGCTTAGCCTTCCTTGTTAACCCCGAGTGCTGGCTCCCATACCTGCTCATTCCGCTACCATCCTCACCTTGTGGCCTTGTGGCCTCTCTGTAGTTTAAAGGGAAAATGTTTTATGAACCAATTTCACTTTCAAACTTTTCAACAGAAAAATTAAAAGAAAATTGTTCTCTGCAGAGGAGAGTGGTGTTAGCTGGCACTCAGTGGGGTCCCACTCAGGCGACTTCGTGTACAACAAACAGAACGCTGCCCGCTCGCCTAGATTTCCGTGTCTAGTCCATTGCTGTCCCCACGCACTTTCAGGGCCTTCCAGCTGAGGGCCTTGCCCCCGAGCACAGTGTCTGACAGCCTCTGCAGGGAGCCACCGGTTGGTTGGCTGATCCTTGCCAGTGGATCACCACGCCATTCTGGTCTCACTCCAGAAGCCCCACTGAACCCTGTCCCCCCAAGGCTGACCCTGCTGGTGCTGTATCTGAAATACCAGTGGTACAGCTCTCAGCATCACAGCTTGACACACTGACTCGGGGGGCGGGCTTAGCCCCCGCGCACACCCAGGGGAAACGGACCACTGCTGTTCATGTTGGACTAGATCCCCTTCCGGTACTTTTTCTATGCACACGTTTTACTGGACAAGTTGAGGTCACACTGTGTGCTCAGTTTATTTCCCCTTTAAAACGTGCTCATCTTAATATGAGCAGTTTCTGATTTTAGGACAAATTCTTTGCAGACATCACTTACTGTTTCCACAATCGCCAAGTGCATGGGTTATCACAACGTTCCTAACCATTCTCTCCAGTTGGTCCAACATGTAAGTTGCTCTCCTGTTCCCACCACTATTTAACATCTCCAGGATCCCGGTGCGCATACACTCTGCCCACCTCTCACATGCTGACCTCAGGTTAGACTGGCAGGAGGGCAACTCCTGGGCCCAAGGGCGCGCCCCTGCGAGCTCAGCCTTCACAGCTGCGGGGATAAAAACGGATCGAGGGACTATCCGCAAGCATCACAGAAGGGAAGTGGCGACGGCCCAGGACGTCACGTGAGCGCCTCGCAGCTCCAACAAGCAGCCGCCCTGCAAATGCGCGCTTGCGCGAGGCATCCCCGAACTCGCAAAGGGTGCAGCGGGGCGGGAATCAGGGCCACGCGGGGTTGCAGACCAGCGCGCCCTGAAGCCCCCGCGGCCCGCGCTGCGCGGAACGCCACCAGGGGGCGCTCGGCGGCGCGCATCCCACCCCGGCGCCTGCGCGGACTGCTGCGTCACGTGGCCCGCCGCGACCCCGCCCCCTGACGCGCAGCTGGCAGGTCACGTGGCTCCGCCGTCACGTGCCCAGCAGCGCAGGACCCGAGTGAGCGCCGCGAGCCGGGGCGGCGCGGAGGTGAGCGTCCGGGCCGGGGTCGCGGGCCGTGGCTGGAGCAAGGAGGCCCGGGGCCTGTAGGAGGCTCCGGTGCTGCGTGCACAGTCCTGCTGACAAGGGGCCTGGGCGGTAGTGACCCCGCAAGTGCGGGACCGAGGCCATGACCTTAGTTGCAAAGGTCAGCAGTGGCACGCGGCCAGCGCTCGCGTGGGTGAGGCCGCGGTGACGGCAGTGACACCCTGAGCCGGCCCGCTCAGCGGGGACCTTTCCAGGCGCCTCACTGTGCCGCCAGGGCTCCTCCTGTGGTCCTCACATACTTGGGGACACGGAGCTGTGTGTCACCCGGATCAGCCTTGACCCGCTGCAGCAGCCTGCACTGGGGAGCTATGCCACCGACCCACACTTGACCCCTGACCTTTAGGGCGGCTGCATTTCTTTCTCTAAGCCCTCGAGCCTAGAGGTGGACTTCCCCAACCCTGCCGTTCCCAGGGCTGCCGGCAGCCGCTTCTCTGGGATCTCTCCCCCGACCTGTAAAATAAAAGTTCCTATTGGCTGTGCCCTGGACCACCTCCCAGTTGGAGGTTCTGATGCCTGGCCCCCAAGATCAGAGCCTGGGGGGGGGGTTGTGGAGCTCCAGCTGCCCTGACTGCCAGCCCCCGGCCTTGGCTGGGCGTCTCCTGGTTTCTGATTCAGAGCAGCTGCGGGTGTCTGGAGGACCAGGTGGGGCTGGAACTCTCCAGCCAGTGGCCCCTGGAGCACTCCGTGCACTGCTGCTCCCACAGCGTTCCCTGCAGATCGGAAGCCCTAGGTTCACTTCTGCCTGGGTACGCCCCGCCATGGGGATGCACCTCTGCAGGCCACAGCCCCCAGCACGTCCATCTGGCGTGTGCACACGGGCCAGGCTTCCCAGCCCAGAACTGAACACGGGAGGGAGATGAAGGCAGGACTTCTCTGATGGCCGCCGTGGGCTCAAGGAGGACCCACCGTTGAACTTTTCAAGCACAGGGGCTGGGAGGGGCCTCGGGGATTTGATCAGTTGTCAGCTGCCCTTCCCTCTCCTTCCCTAGGGCCTGTGTGGGGTTTGCTGGCTCTCCCAGCTTTTCCCAGCACCACCCCATCTTCTGACATGCACAGGAAAAGAACCCCCAGTGCAATCCTGACACATTTAATCCCACGTGGTGTCTGCCTCTCAGAGGAGCGAGACTCACAGGCTGTTCTTTACAGAATACTTAGCACTTCCCAAAAAAGCCAAAGCCTTTGCTGACGAGTTCATTGCGGCTCATAGGGACCCTCTCCAGATCCTGTGTGCTGAGCAGAACTAACCCGCTTCTTAATCTCACCACCCGAGGCAACCCCAGCAGGCCCGCCTCGGCTTCCTACCTCATTGGTGTGTGTACCAGGCAGATTCTGGGTGCTGCTGAGGAGGGGACCCTGAACCATTTCTCCCCCATGTCCCCACAGGGGCCGTCCCCAGGACCCGGCCCCTCTCTCTGGCTTTGCCATCTCAGGGGATCGCTGTTCTGTAGTGTCCAAGACCTTGTGCTGCCCCAGGTTAACGTCCAGTCCGCAGGAGAGGGATGAGGGAAGGTGGTGGGTGCTGCCTGCCCTGAGTTGCCCACGCCACTTGCACTTGCACCCCATTGGCCACACCTTGCTCACCTCAGCCCATCTCCGCAGAAGGGCACTTACTACACCTGTTCCTGAAGGGGCTTGTTCCACCCACCAGCCTGTTACCAGGTCCTTCTAGGAACGTCAGGTGTGTGACGTTTGGAAGAACATCGAGGACACAGGATTCTCTGTTTGCGTCAAGTCAGCTCCGACTCACAGGGACCTCCCGTGGGTCCCGGTGGACAGCACTCCAGAGGGTTGTTGGTGGCTGGTTTTTTAGGCCTTTTTCTGAGCTGCCTCTGGCTGGACTCGAGCCACCACCTTTGGGTAGCAGCTGAGTGTGTTAACATTTGCACCCCCAGTGACTCGTGTTCTTCCCCTGCCCCTGGTCCAGCCCGTCTGTGACCCGGGGAGCAGCCTGCTGCTGAGTCCCCATTGGTGCCCCAGGAGGCTCTGCCTGGGTCCTTGATGCCCACCTCTCCCCAGATGCCACTCCCGCTCGGTCCTCCTTCCCCACTGTCCTGGTTACCTCTGTGCCACTCTGACAGGAAATACCACAAATGGAATGGCTTTAACAAACAGGAGTTCGTACTTTTACAGTTTGGAGGCTTTAATCTGACTTCAAAATGCCAAGCTCTAGGGCCTGGGTAAAAGCCGCACCTTGGGCTCCAGCTCTGCCTCCTGCTCCCGGCCCACTGAAGCTGGAGGCTTCTCTTCACTCAGACAGCTGCTGGCTGCTGAGGCTGAGAAGCCCAAGGTCGACAAGTAACAAGGCACAGTCCTGATGTTACCAAACCACATGCAGGCCATTGATTCAAGGCTATTAAAAGTCCCAACGTTGGCAGAGTGTGGCAGGCTGCTGAACAATGACACGGCTACACGCAGGGTCCAAGTGTGCCATAGCTAGAGGCTGTTTCCCAAGGCTTCTCCTTATACATGGGAAGCAGACCGCATCCCGAAAGCAGCTACTCAGCTGTTCACAGTAAATTCCACCATGGAGCTGATTACCAGTCTCATGGGGAATACTACACCCAGCTGCCCAGCCCACCTGACGGGCCAACCGTAACTACCACAGCCGCTGACCTGGCTCCTCCTCTCCCACAGGCCTCTGCAGCCGCTTTGCTGCGGCAGCCAGCTGACCATGGGCGTGGGGTGGCCGCCCTGCCCGCGGCCCCTGGCCCGTGCCCTGCTGGGGACCTGTGCCTTTGCCCTCATGGTCACAGCTGTCCTCGTGGGGCATGTCCTGCTGCGTGATTTCGCCGTGATTCCCCGAGAGCTGGGGGAGGAGGCTTACCAAGCTCGCAACCGAGAACCCCAGCACATCCCAGAGCGCCACAGCATGCCCGGGCCAGTGCCCACACAGTGCGACGTGCCCCCCAACAGCCGCTTTGACTGCGCCCCCGAGGCGGCCATCACCCAGGAGCAGTGCGAGGCCCGCGGCTGCTGCTATATCCCTGCGCGACCAGGCCCCCGGGGCCCTGCGATGGGGCAGCCCTGGTGTTTCTTCCCCCCCAGCTACCCCAGCTACAGGCTGGAGAACCTCACTGCCACCGAGACGGGCTACACGGCCACCCTGACCCGCACCACCCCCACCTTCTTCCCCAAGGACATCCTGACCCTGCGGCTGGAGGTGCTGGTGGAGACAGACAGCCGCCTCCACTTCACGGTGGGTGGGATGGGGCGGGGCCTGGCGGCACGTGGGCATGGACAGTGGTGCCCCTTAGCCTACCAGGGGGATCCTTTGCAGGACAGGTGTTTGCTGTGCCCTACTATGCCCCGCGGTATATAACAACAGCAACTATGCCCTGAGGAGCTCTGGTAGCGTAGTGCCTAAGGCATTGGACTGTGAACCAGAAGGCTGGCGGTTCAGGGCCTGTGACCTGATCCCTGGTCCTCAGTTTCTCTTGTTCTGGGGATGAGGGAGGAGCTGGAAGGTGCAGTGATGGTCAGCCTGCCCCATGAGGGGCCTTGGGTGCCACCGTCCCTCTCTCTCCTTTTTTAGATCAAAGACCCTGCTAACAGGCGCTACGAGGTTCCCCTGGAGACCCCACGTGTGCGCGGCCGAGCCACAGCCCCGCTCTACAGTGTGGAGTTCTCTGAAGAGCCCTTTGGTGTGGTCGTGTACCGGAAGCTGGACGGCCGGGTGCTGTGAGTGCTGGGCCCCAGCCCCAGGCCAGCGTGGCCTTCTGGCCATCTCCCGCCCCACAGTCCCCGTGGGGGGCGGTTTGCTCTCTGGGAAGGCCCCCTCTGGCCCCCAACCCACTGATGCAAGGGAGCCTGCTCCCTCCCGCAGGCTGAACACGACGGTGGCGCCCCTGTTCTTCGCCGACCAGTTTCTGCAGCTGTCCACCACCCTGCCCTCCCCATACCTGGTGGGCCTTGCCGAGCACCTCAGTCCCTTGACGCTCAATGCCAGCTGGACCAAGGTCACCCTCTGGAATCGGGACATGGCCCCCCAGGTAAACGGCTCATCAGGAGGGACATGGGGGGCTTGCAGGCTCTGTTGTGGTCTCTGGTGTGCAGTGAAGAGCTGGGTGGGTGGCATGAGGTGTACTGTCCCCCTTGGAGGGACCCCCCCCCAGACCCCAGCTCTGCGTGTAGGGTCTGGTCACAGCCATGCAGTCTCATCAGGGAGCACAGTGCCTGGGCCCAGCCCTGCTCGGGGGCACCCACCTCAGGTGACCCCGGGGTTCTCACCAGATTTGGGGGTTTCCTGAGGGGACTTTCTGATGCTCTTGGAGTCCTAAGGGGTGTGCAACTTG